CCATTGTCATAGATTAAATGACCATATATGGATGGGTTTATTTCTGGGCTCTCTATTCTGTTCCATTGATCTATGTGTCTGTTTTTATGCCAGTGACATATTGTTTTGATTACTATAGCCTTGTAGTATGATTTGATGTCGGGTAGCATGAAACCTCCCATTTTGTTCTTATTTCTCAAGATTGCCATGGCTATTCAGGGTCTTTTATGGTTCCATATAAATTTTAGGATTATATGTTTTATTTCTGAGAAAAATGTCCTTCGTAGTTTGATAGAAATTGCATTGAATCTATATATTGCCTTAGGTAGTATTGACATTTTAACTATATTCTTTCTATCCATGAACATGGTATCTATTTCCATTTATTTGTATCTTCTTTGATTTCTCTCTTCAGTGTCATATAATTTTCTGAGTACAGGTCTTTTACTTCTTTGGTTAAATTTATTCCTAGGTATTTTATTGTTTTTGAAGCAATGTAAATGGGATTGATTTCCTGATTTCTTCTTCTAATAGTTTATTATTGGTGTATACAAATGCAACTGATTTCTGAATATTAATTTTGTATCCTGCTACCTTACTAAATTCATTTATCAGTTCTTAACAGTTTTTTTGTGGAGTCAGGATTGTTATATTCTCTTGATTGGCCCCTTTAACACTGTAAAATCATCTTCTTTATCTGTGGTAATATTCTTTGCTTTGAAATCTACTTTGTCTGATATTATCATAGCCACCCCAGCTTTCTTTTGATTCATGTTAGCATGGTATGTCTATCCATCCCATTTGTTTTTAAAGTTAGGTTTATTAAAGTATAACTTACATACAGTAAAATATCATTTTTAGTATACGTCCTGTGCATTCTGACAGATGCATTAAGTTATGAGCAGTCATTATAATGAGTCCATCAATCTCCCCCAGTTCCCTTGTGCTCCCCTGATCCCAGTCCCTGGAAACCACTGATCTTTTTTTTTTTTTAACTTGTTTTTTTTAGAGCAGTTTTGGGTACACAGCAAAACGGAGAGGAAGGTACAGAGATTTTCCATATAGCCCCTGCTTTTACAAACGCATAGCCACCCCGTCACCATAATCACCATTCCCCACCAGAGTGGTCCATTTGTTATAATATATGAACCTACACTGACACATCATAATGACTCAAAGTCCATAGTTTACATTAGGGTTCACTCTTGGTGTTTTATATTAAAATCCTCTGTGCTCCCTTTATTCATACCACCCTCCCCCTAAACCCCTGATAACCTCTGATTCTTTTACTGTCTCTAGTTTTGCCTTTCCCAGAATGTCATATAGTTAGAATCATACAATATGTAGCCTTTTCAGATTATGTCTTTAACTTACTAAAAGGCACTCAACGTTCTTCCCTGTTTTCATGGCTTCATAGCTTATTTCTATTTAGTGTTGAATAATATTCCATTTTCTGGATATACCAGTTTATTTATCCACTTACCTATTGAAGGACATCTTGGTTGCGTACAAAGTTTAGCAATTATGAATACAGCTGCTATAAATACCTGTGTGCAGGTTTCTTTGTGAACATAAACTTTCAACTCCTTTGGGTAAATACCAGTGAACACAATTGCTGGATTATATCATAGAAGTAAGTTGAGTTTTATAAGAACCTTTGTCTTCCAAAGTGGCTGTACCATTTTGCATTCCTACCAGGAATGAATGTGAGTTCCTGTTGTTCCACATCCTTGCAACATTTGTTGTTATCATTGTTCCAGATTTTGGCCATTCTAATAGTTGTGTAGTGACATTTCATTGCTGCTTTAAATTGCAATTCCCTAATAACATATGATGTGGAACATCTTTTTATATGTTTACTTGTCATCTATATATCTTCTTTAGTGAGGCATCTGTTCAGGTCTTTGGCTCATTTTTACGAGTATATTGGGTTGTTTATTTTCTTATTGTTGAGTTTTAAGAGTTCTTTATATATTTTGGATAAGTCTTTTATAATAAATGTGTTTTGCAAATATTTTCTCCAAGTCTGTGGTTTGTCTTATCATCTCTTGATATTGTTCCCATGCATACCACCACTCACCTACCATTAAAGAAGTTGCTTACGTAATTTCTAACTTTGAATATTCTAATCTTTAAAATGAGAGGCAGCAGGGTAGGTGGAAGGTTAGATAAAGAATCTCTAAAGTGCCTTTCAAGATGAAAATTTTAGATATTACATGAAAAGTAATGTAATCTTATTCTGTATATTTAACTGTCACTGAGAATATTGGTATATGTAAGACATTAGATTTTTGTGTTCACTACGTCCACAGCCATAAAGCGATACAATGTTCATACACAGGTTAGCATACTTTGTACCTCGTGACCCCACCATCCTGGTCTCCACTGACTGCTGATGCTGAACAAGGGCAATCATGTATTGGACTGTATGATATGAGTTCTGATTACCAGGAGCCCTATATAAAATATAATCAGATTCTCTCTTAAGAAATTTGAATACAAGACATTAAAAAGGTAAGTACAGCAGAAGGAAAAGGATCAGAGGTTAGCCAAGTCCTCATTTAGTCATGTCTTATAACAAAACAAGCAGCTCTAATTCACTTTCTGTACCTGGAGGGTCAGTCCCTACAACTCAGTCTGAAAAACATTCCAGTTTTCTATGAAGCCTGGCTGTTCCTTTGCCTTCTTACCTCCTGGTGTACCCTCACAGTAAACATGAGCCTATCTATGTTCACTATAATGTGAAGTCCTAACAGGCAATAACTACTGGAGCAGTACTAGAACAACTCCCAGCTTTTGACCTAAATATACAGTCTTATCAAACTGTTCTACATCCTGTTTCGATAGGTATTTTTTGGTTCCCACAAGTACAAAATAACTTTTGCCAAATGGATCCTTAAAATCATCATGAGTAATTTTTAAATTTCTTGAGATAGTTAAATTTTAAGTGGAGAAATTAGAAAACTGCTAGCATTATTATTGGGGTAACAGTGTATTATGGATTCTAATATCCATTCTAGTTCTTGTAATTTGATCTTTGAGAGTCTGAAATTAAGTGATCTGAGCCTAAGGTCACACCCTTAAAATTAGAAAAATAATATATTATCTGCCTGAAGATATGACTAGGTCATCTCTTGAGGTATTTTCCACCTGTAAAGACAAAGATTCTCTGACTAAATAAACAAGATTCCACTTTAACCCCATTTTTGTTTGTTTCCTGTGGCAAGGTAGCAGCATGAACCAAGCACATATCTCAAGATGTTCAGAATCAGAAACAGACAGCAGTCCTGTAACCCAACCACAACTATAACATACTATGATTTCATAAAATCCTGATTATAAAATCTTTAAAGATAAGTGAAAAGTGTAGGCAGTTGTGGGAACTAAATGTTATCATTAATTGAGTGTACAAAAACTATTTTGTTCTTTTTAATTTGTGCAAAGGTTGAGTAGTTTATTTCTAAATAAATCTTAATTTACCATAACATTGCATTGTGAAAATTGCATTGTGAAACAAAAGAATAAACAGTGTTTCAATCCTTTATGTTATGACTTTTAAATTTGCTTTTTTTACCTAAGAGGAAATTTCTCTCCTGTAGTGTTTCCTGCTCACTATGTAATGATAACATTATTAAAAATTCATTCAGGTAGCATTTAACTGCTATTTTCCCCTTGTTATTTTTATTCCATTTCAAATCAGTTTCTCTTAAATAAATCTCATTAATTTTATTTTAAAGTTCACACATATGTAACACCAAAAATGATTTTAAGAAAAAAATATATTAATACTATGAGAAGCATTTTTCTTGTACATTTCAGTTTAAGAATAAAAGTAAATGCAAATTGTCCCCACAAAGTCATGCTGTTTCCAATTATTTGTTAAGATAAGTACATACCTCTGCTTCCATGTGATAAGCATTTTCCACTCTTCTAAAATCCTTTGTCACAGTTACATTTTCTGCCTGAAACAGAAAGTACAAGGGTATAATTACTAAATGTTTGGGTACTAAATGGAGTTACTCTAAAACATAAAGTAGAAATCTGAACTTAATAAAATCAGAATGACAAAGTATGCAGAAAGAACTGGTTTGACTGTTTGCCTGATGTTTTAGAAGTTTCCTAAAAGTAACAAAATAAATTCAGAAGCCAACAAATAGTTGCTGAAAATGTCAACACAAATGTCACTCCATTTGTAGTAATTGTTACATTAGTTTGTATAAAAAGTATGAATTTGGGGTGACACACACATACACACACACACACACACACACACACACACACACACGAGGACGGACAATTAAGTTCGCTAACTCCTAGAAAAACTGCTACATACCTCATTGCTGAATATCACTACAGTCACCTTCCAAGTATTCCCCTTGGGAAGCTATGCATCAACACCCTTCAAAGCAATTTTGGAACTCTTTCTGGAATGGCTATCACACCTGTGGTCGTATTACCCTTGATGTCCTGAATGTCATCAAAATGTCTTCCTTTCAATATTTCCTTTATCTTTGGGGAAAGAAAGAAGTCATTGGGGACCAGATCAGGTGAGTAGGGAGGGTGTTCCAATACAGTTGTTTACTGGCTAAAAACTCCCTAACAGTGTCCTGTGAGCTGGTGCACTGTGATGCAAGAGCCATGAATTGTTGGCGAAAAGTTCAGATCATCTAACTTTTTCACGCAGCCTTTTCAACACTTCCAATTAGTAAACTTGGTTAACTGTTTGTCCAGTTGATAAAATTCATAATGAATAATCGCTCTGATATCATAAAAGGTTAGCAACATCATTGCAACAAGTTTGTGAATTATCAGAATTGTGTATGCCTGTGAGTTTTTTAAATGTTTAATTTACAAATAATTTAATACAAGTTTACTTAATAATTATATAGTATGCAACTTTGGGCAAGTTATTCCACTTTTTGAGCCTTAGTTTCTGCATTTATAAAATTAGGTTAATACCATGTACACTACATAGAATTGTTTTGAGGATTTAATAACAAGTTGTATATAAGGTGCTTGACACAGAGAAGGCACTCAGCAAACACAGATGCTGTGACCCAGACCAGTTTGTTCTTAGAAAATATGAATGCTTTCTGATTCTCTGGGTAAATACAGCATACACAATTCTGATAAAAATGTTAACTTTCTTATTCACTTTTCAAAAGGGTTTTAAAATTTAGTGAAATGAACTAACTCTTCAAATACTCTCATGGGGACAGGTAGAACTTATATTTTACAAAAGTTTTGTATTCTTCAAAATATATGCCAAATAAATATAAAGATTATTATGCCTAATAATGATTTAATTATGTTATTTTTTAGGGGATTTAGCTGCATATGGATTTTTAGATGTAATCTAATTTCAAGCAGTTTATATTATCCAGAAAAATTCTAAAAAGCTATAACCTGAAAATTTGAACTGAAGCTCCAATTATAGCTCTGATGTCACTCCCATGAAAATATGAATGCATTTTTATGATAAAGATAATACCTGCTCGTTGTAGAAAATTTAGAACACAGATAAATATAAAACAGAACTGTATATATTGCTTGTAATCAGCTTTATTTGCTTAATATGAACTTTTCTGTCATTTAATATTCTTTTATTCTTTTTATGACATGCAAACATATTTTCTTTCAGATATCTCTTTTTTCATTTTTATTTTTAAAGGCAGTTTGAGTTAGGTTTTTTTTTTTTTAATTTAAGTTTCTCCTTTTTTTAAGATTTTATTGGGAAATCGGGGAAGGAGAACAGACAAGTTGCTGTCCTTTTCTTCTTCAGTCTAGTTGTGGAGGACGTCGCTTCACTGGCCCATGTTGGTATTGTGATCATTGCGCTCTTCCTGGCTGAGGCAGATCGGTCGCCAGCCATTGGACGGCGGCTCACCGCAGCGCATGCTGGCTTCCGGCCACTCACAGCAGCTAAAGGCAGCCCACTGCAGCCCCACTGCAGCCTACACCATAACTGGCAACTCACAGCAGCCCAGCTCCAGGTCGAGCTGTTGTTCACCATCTTAGCTGTAGAGGGCACAGCGTCACTGGCCTTCATGTGGGATCCAAACCAGCAGCCCTGCTGCTCAGAGCTCACACTCCCAAGCCAACTTTTAACCAACGAGTCAGTCAGCTGGCTCTGAGTTAAGTTTTTGCATACACAGGGAAAGACAGATTTCAATAAATGATTTCAGTACAGCGACTTACCCATTTAGAAGAAAACAAAACCTTTTTCCTATACCAAAATAAATTCCAATCAATGGCAAATATATAATGTACTATAAAGGTATAAAGCGTCCCAGGAGAATGGTTACATACGTTTAGGATTGAGAAGAACCCAATAAGAATTACACCAAAGGCAAAAAACATGGAAAAGATTAATGAATTTGACTAAATAAATTTTTAATATTTTGAATGTTCAATACTGTAAACAGATCCCCCAGTTTGGATCACACATTAGGACCAGTGATGCTGCACCCTCTACAACTAAGATGGTGAACAACAGCTTCACCTGAAGCTGGCTGCCAGTGAGTCACCGGCGATGGTGTAGGCTGCAGTGGGCTGACGTAAAGCTACCGTGAGTGGCGGGCGGCTGCCAAGAGCCGCCGTGAACAACCGTCCAGTAGCCAGCAACCAATCTGTCTCACCCGGGAAGAGTGCAATGATCACAATACCAACATGGGCCAGTGAACCGACATCCTCCACAACTAGACTGAAGAACAAAAGGACAGCAACTTGTCTGTTCTCCTTCCCCGATTCCCCAATGCTGTTCCCCTCCCCCAATTCCCCAATAAAATCTTAAAAAAAAAAAATAGTGTAAACAGATATATGGCAAATATGATATTGGGAAAATTTTTGCAATGTATGAGAGAAATGGAGTTATTAATAATCTTAATTTTTATAGTTCCCATAAATTAATAAAGACAACAGAAAAAGGGAAAGTATTATGAACTGGCAATTTACATGAAAACTTCAATTAACCTCAAATGTTAAAAAAAGTAAAAAGCAAAAACAGTAACAGTTTTTTGACTACTGAATTTGCAGTTAAAGAAGAAAATAATGTGCATTGTGCCAAGAATATCTTTCTAGTGAAGACATAAACTTATCTTCCCAGAGTGTAATTTTTCATAAGCCTTAAGATATGCGGAAGCCAGAAATTAATGTCCAAAGAACATAATTAAGAACATGTATAAATACCTAGCAACAAGGATATTATGTCACCACTTTTAGCAATGAAAAACTAAAGTCAGCTCATGTGATATGTTCAGTCTATTTCTGCTACTCCCTATTTTAATTTGGGTGCACCCAGAAACAGACTCTTGAGACAAGGAATTTGAGTATAAGCAGTTAATTTTTAAGACAATCCCAAGAACCTCCATAGAGGAGTGAGAAATGAAACAGAAGGAAAGAAAGGCGTTAAAGGGTGTGTTGTCACTGTGGGCAACAGGAACTTATTCTTGAAGATAAACTCTGGGAGCCAGGGTAGAACCCATGCCTCAAGGGTATCCTGGCCAGGGGGTGAGGAATCTGGGGACTGTTTCCATCACTGCCCTCAGCTGTTAGTTGAAAGCTGCGAACTCGGGGAAGGGACTGTTAATTCTCTGGCACTAATGACTGGCCCACTTGTAAGTAGTGTGGATTCTTGCAGCCAGGGAAAGCTGGCAAAAAATTCACAAGCGTTGGCAGATGGAACTGCATGCACACAAATGTGAAGTGGAAAGGGATACAAGTGTGGGGTATCAATAGCACTTTCTACATCCTCTACCTAAAAACTCACTCAACCACTGCCAAGAAAACAAAGCAACAACATACTATCATGGTTAAGAGTATGGGTTTTGAGGTCAAATTTCTTGACTGGAGTCTGAAAACTACTACTTCCTAGTTGTGTGACCATGGGCAAGCTACCTGCCAATAATCACTCTGGTCCTGAGCGTTCTTATCTATAAAAGAGAACTACCAGTTTCTTATGGTGGAAGTGAGTATCATTTGTAAATGGTCAAGCAATAGTAAGCAGTTATTTATTATCAATCATATCCAAACTCCTCAGTATGGCACACAGGCTTCCTCCATGTTCTGCCTACAGCTTTCTTCAGTCTTATCTTTTGATTCCCCTCCATTTTTGCAAGTACTCCTGTGTCCTAGCCATAGTGAACTGCATATAGTGCTCTGAACACATATGCTTGCATTCTTCTTTTTTTTTTTTTTTAAGGAGGGCGCAGCTCACGGTGGCCCATGTGGGGATGGAACCAGCAACCTTGGTGTTATCAGCACCACGCTATAACCAGTTGAGCTAACCGGCCACCCATACTTGCTGCATTCTAGTGTCAAACTGGAATGCTTTCCCTTCAGCCACTGTTTAAGATTTGATGCAAGTGTCACTTCCATTATGAACTCTTTCCGGAATTCCTCAGTAAAATGAACATTACTTCTTTTCTTACTCTATTGTATCATGTACATACTTTCATCACAACACTTACTATATATAAGCCTATTCCTAACATAAGACTTCTTCAGCACAGTGCCTAAATTTTACTCATTCTCTATTTGTGGTGCCTAGAAACATGCTTGAGGCATCCATTACACATTTATTGAAAGAAAATACAATTACAAGTGGCAGATATTGGAGCTTACAGCCTATGGGAGGAACATACAAAGCAGAAAACAAAATAAGTACATATCATGTTAAGTGCTATTTAAAAATGAACAGTGATAGGGAATGCTTAACAAATGTTTGCTGGTTGAATGAGTAAATACTGCTTAGAAATTTAAAACATTTTTCCATGAAAGCAACACTAAAAATAAGTTATGCCTTCACATGTGAAACTATATATGATTATAAAACTGCATCTGATCTATAACATAGTTGAACTAACAGTTTTTTCATTTAGTGCTTCATTTATTATTTTTCTTTTATTCATTCAGAAACCATTTTCTGAGTATACATTATGTGATATGTATGAAGCATAAGCCACGAATGCAAAGCAAACGAGATACAATGGTCTCTGCTCTGGAGAGGTTTAGAATATAGAGACAAGTAAAGCAACAACTATAATACTGAGTGATAAGTTTTATTACAAGTGGGGAGTGGACTGTGGCATGACAAAGACTAAAGTTAGGTTAGGAAAGGGATGCCAAGGAGGTGAACTTGGGCTGGTTCTTAAAGGAAAAAAACGAAGTCGGTAAGTTAACCAGGTGAGAAAGATGACAGGAAATGAATAGTGTTAGGTTCCATCTTTTAAGCAAAGGAGTTTGGAACATGAGGAGCCTGTTAAGCAGGGAAGTGATGTTTATAAATCAAGATTCCGAAGTTTAAAATGAATAAAGATTTTGTGAAGACCTATTATAATTCTTCCTGCACAGTAATATAAATGATTTTTTGCATTATCTACCGAACAAATTATCTACATCATTGCTTTCCTCTATTAGCAGAGAACTGGGAGATCGATGACCTCTATATGTCTTGACTAGAACACTGAATCTTAGTGTAATCTTAACTGTAACCTGTACATAGTTATTTATTTTGTTTTACATATCAGACATTACAGCCATGTGAGTGTAGAATAAATTTTAGGTAAGTAACCTAAGAAGTGTTATATTCAAACAAGACTGCAGCACTAGCAGTATTTTTTTTGAGTAAATATTTTTCTGCAAATTAAACATATTAAATTCACTTTATTTATATTATTCTAATTAGTATTTGAATTCTTCTAAACTGTAAACATTTAGAGACATCTTTTCCAAATAACTTCTTAAATAACTTTATTTTTAAATGAAGTACAAATATATTTTCTCCATAAAATAATAAAGACTTGCTTTTTGGGGCTGTGTCATTTCTAACAATAAATTTTTTCTAACGATAACAATTTCTAACAATAAGCACTTTTAAAACTCAGTGTTATCCTGGATAAATCACAACTCTGACCTTTAGAGTCCTACTCTGTAAAGTAAAGACATTGAGATAGTTGACCCATTCTGTGGTTTCTCATTTTCTTTCATTCTAATTGTCGGGAGCCTGGCATAATTGGAAGCAACCTAGATTTTTGTTTCAGGAATGCAGGAGTTCAAATACCACCCTGGCTGAAGTTCAGATCATTACTTAAACGTCTCTAAATCTGGAAAATGGGGATATTAAAACCTGCCTAACAGGGATGTTGTACGGATTAAATAACTCTTGTTCATTTTTTTCTTCTTTCCTTAGAAGTAGACTTAAGGTAAGATTTATTTAGTGATTTGTTTCACGTACATGTCTGGTAAGTAGAGGTATTTAATATATGTGGCATCTACAATATACTGGCTTAATTTCTTTTTAATTTAAAACTAAAAAAATGGAGAAAAATTTTAATAGTCTTTATAAAAAGAAAATGGATACAACTCCCCCACCCCCACATTACTCTTTGCAAAACATTACTGAGGAACCACTCCATGCAAAGCTTTACATGGTTGAGAGGAAGCAGGCCATGCTTTTCATTCGCCAATTCCATGGTGCAGGATAAAAATAACAAAAACATGACTGGTGTCTAGCACACTAGGCAAGAATTTACTACATCTAACGTGTACAGTTTAACAGTTCATCTTGTCAAGGTTAAAAACAAAATTGCAGCAAATATTACCATGTAAAACCCAACTGAATTTGCATTTTCTTATTTTACAAGTCACTGCAACCAATAATTACTTTCTAGAAGAAGGATCGGGTAAAGATTCACTCTGCCCGGCACTAGTGCCCTGTGATACCGATGAGACAAAGGTGCCCCACCTCCACCCAGCTCCGGGGGTCGTCCGGCTCGAGGCTCCTCCCCCACAGGGCTCTCACCTGCAGACCCTGCTGCTGAAGACTCTGCGTGATGTAGTCCAGGCGGCGGCAAACGCTCTTCTTGACCTCGGCCGCCGCCTCCTTGGTGCTGCTGATGCGCACCGTTACCTGCGCCCTGTCGGGGCTCACGGACACCTCCGCCGTGCCGCTTACGTGCACCTCCCGGGGTGCATTTTGGGCCTGTGCTGAGGGGAGGGGACGGCGCAGGCCGGGTAGCGTATCTCCGCCCGAGTGGAGACTGTTCTCCCGGCCCCGCTCAGCCCAGGGAACCAGTTCCACGAACACACGAGACTGAGGGGCCGGTTGCAACGACATAGCGATGGCAGCTGGGTTTCCACGGCAACTCAGGGCCTACGGCGGCCGAAGGGCCCAGCGCGCGCCGCGCAAAGGATGCCGGGATGGGTTTGCGAGTCCTGCAGCGTCTAGGGAGCGCGAGCTATGCTTGGTGGAGAGTTTTGCTGCAGCAGCTTTACAAGGTGCTGGGTGAGCGGGTCGTTAGCATTTATAACGTCTTTACCTCACGGCCCTCAAAAATCTTAGCAAGCTTTCTCTGTGGCGTCCCTCACAGCTCTGCCTTTCCATGCCCACCGTCCTCGTCGGTTCCGCGCCTTGAGTCTCCTGCGAGGGGTTTCCTGCGAGGCCAGGCAGGGCAGAGTGGGATTGCTCTTATATTTCTCCAAAGAGAGCCTGAGTTTCTCTGGCGTTGTTTTCTCTGGCTTTAGAGAAAAGGGGGGAAAATCAGAGAGAGAGAGAATCATACCATCAGAGGAACCTAGACGACATAGAGGTAGAGTCCAGATGCAATTCCAACCTCTGTTTCTGGAATTTTCTTTGGCCTGTTTTCATTCCTGCACTGGAATTCTGTAAAATATTCCTGTATCCTTATCATAAAAGCTCCTCTCCTTTTTTACATAGGTAGCTTGACTGATTTTTATGTTATCTTAAAACTAAGAATAGTGGGCCAGCTGAGTGGCGCATTGGTTAAGAGCTGGCTTGGGACGTCAGCTCTGAGCAGCAGAGCCCTGGTTCGGATTCCACATGAGGGCCAGTGACACTGCCCTCTACAGCTAAGATGGTGAACAACAGCTAAACCTGGAGCTGGGCTGCTGTGAGTCGCTGGCAACGGTGTAGGCTGCAAGCCCCTGTGGCAGTGGGTTGCCATAGGCTACCGTGTGTAGCCAGCAGCCAGCGTGAGTGGCCAGCAGCCGCAGTGAGCGGCCGTCCAGAAGCCGGCGACTGATCTGCCTCGCCCGGGAAGAGCGCAATGATGGTGCCAACTTGGGCCAGTGAAGCAACGTCCTCCACAACTAGACTGAAGAACAAAAGGACAGCAACTTGTCTGTTCCCCTTCCCCGATTCCCCAATGAAATCTTAAAAAACAAACCAAAAAAACCCCCGTAAGAATATTGATGGAAAATAGTGGATAATAGAAAAGGAAAATTCAAGGCTCTCGTGCATAGCTTTCAGCCTTAAGGAATGTATAGAGCTTCACACAAAGTGGATCATTAGGTGCATAGCTCAAAGCTTTACCTTTGATAAAATTCTGCTCTTCATGGTCATTCAAGGACACCCTGAGTGATGCTATCATGCATCTGCTTTCCATTTCTGACTGGTACCTGCTTATCGAGCCAACCCATCCATAACCTATCCATAAAAGCTCAGGCTTTTCCCTCATCCTTTAGCTGTTCATACAAGATCTCTGTATAACCATTGGTGTGAGCTGAGAATGGTGTTCTGATGCAACCTTTGTGGGTGGCATGGAAGCCTGGATTACCTGCTCATGCAGCTTGCTATGCCTTCTGATCCTGTTCAGTATCCCAGATGTACTATTTTCATCTTTTGATGATTTCTTTTTGGCTGCTGCCTGTATGATTTGGAGTGTGTCTCACAGGACCCAGTTTATACTAGATAATTTTGAACATCATTAAAAAAAAGGAGAGAGAGAGAAAGAGAATGAGAGAGAGAGAGAATGGAACAATATATTCTGAATGCTGAGGGAGAAAAATGAATTAACCTAGAAGGAGGTATTAAACTATCCCTCAAGAATAAGAGGAAAATGGAGATATTTTCAAACATACAAAGACTTAAGGGAGTTTGCCACCTATAGACTCTCACTAAAATATTATACAATATGCCTCTGTAATATAAGTTTAATAGGAAGACATGGTATAGAAGAAACAACAATAATAGAAGAAGTTGATAGCATATGTCCAGTAATTTAGTTACTTATTGAAGTCATTTTTTATTTGTGTGTGAGTGATTAAACAAAAACTGAAACTGAAAAATCTCACAACAATTTTAACAAAAGAGGAGAGACATTCATTACATTTGGCTAACGAATCTTAAGGTCCTTGCTTGTTAAAAAAGAAGCTAGAGGGCCGGGCGAGTGGCGCGATGGTTAAGAACTGGCTTGGGACACCAGAGGGCCCCGGTTCGGATCCCACATATGAGGGCCAGTGACACTGCCCTCTACAGCTAAGATGCTGAACAACAGCTCAACCTGGAGCTGGGCAGCTGTGGGTCACCGGCGACGGCGTAGGCTGCAGCCCCTCAGTGGGTTGCCATGGGCTACCGTGTGTAGCCAGCAGCCAGTGTGAGCGGCCAGCAGCCAGCGTGAGCGGCCAGCAGCCGCAGTGAGCAGCCGGCCAGCAGCCGCAGTGAGCGGCTGTCCAGAAGTCGGCAACTGATCTGCCTCGCCTGGGAAGAGCGCAATGATGATGCCAACTTGGGCCAGTGAAGCAATGTCCTCCACAACTAGACTGAAGGGCAAAAGGACAGCAACTTGTCTGTTTCCCTTCCCCAATACCTCAGCGCTGTTCCCATACCACCAACCCCCCAATAAAAATCTTAAAAAAAAAAAAAGAAGCTAGAGATACTGAATTGCATTATACTTGGTTGTAACATTTTGTAGTTATTTACCTATGGGAAATATATAAGTAAATGAAGAAATTGGAGGCAAAAAAGAAGGCTCAAGGAGGTTGAAGGAAGACTAAGATAACACAATATTGTGGAACCATAGGATACAAAGTTCCCAAAAAAGGAAAGATGATAAATAATGTCAAATGATAAAGACAGGTAAAAAAAATTAAGGATGAAAATATGTCTATTGAATATAATATTTAGAAGATTATTAGTGACTGTCAAAATATTGTTTCACTGGGAACTGGATGGCAAAGGGTTAAGAGATGAGTGTGTGACTAGAAAAAAGAAAGAGGTATTTGTTAATGTCGTTTGAAGTTGGGTTGTTGTTGTTGTTATTTGAAAAAGTAATTGGATTCAGGCTTTCCAGAAATGAAGGGAGATAAGAAACTGCCTTATCTCACAAATACCCCAGACACTGGAAATAGCTCTCCTTCTTGTATTTTCTCATTATATTCAGGTTTGTTTTTTGCTTTGTTACAGGTTGCAGATGTTTATCTTCTAGTACCTTAAATGATATAGGTATAACAGGATAGTGAGCATAAGATGTGTTGTATCCATGGTGACTTCTTCCAGTCAAGTGTATTTACTTGTTTCCCCTGGCCACCTTACATGGAGGTCTAGAGCCTAGTAATTATATCTTCACCTTGAAAGTTATAAATTAGTCCAGAAAAAGTATTCTCAAGTACATCTTTACTCTCAGAGGGAAAATAAACGTGAGACTGCCTCCTCACTGTATCGTCTTCTTATTAGGCTGGACTGTCCTGTATTGTGCTGCTGGATTGGAAACCACCTGATTCTAAATCCATACTTTACTGACTTCTTGGACATTTCAATTTTCCAGGTAAGCTTTTGGTTTAAATCTTTTTTTACTTTACTCAGTTTCCCCCTAATTCATTTCACATCACTGGTTTTCTTCAACATTATCTAACTTATTATTATTGGTTTTCACATGTTTTGGTGGCATAATGTAATGACTTACATTTTAATTGCTTAGGCAAAACACTGGAATGTCTCTGTTAATTAGGAGAGAAGTAATATTTTATAAATGAAACTACTATAGTAATAGTAACAATTATTAGTTGTAATTATATCTTAATTGATTTACACAATTTGTATCCAAGAGAGTAAAAGTTTTTGACAGCTTGTTTATAAATTTAAGCTGTTAAACTCTCACTTCTATAAAGACTGCTGCTTCTTGAAAGCAGTAGAGCAGAGATAGCTTTGCCAATAAATATTTTAACCTTCAAAAAATTTTTTAATTTCACACACCCAAGGGACAGATTAGGCAGACACCAGAGTCCTGCTGAGGCAGATCCTGCTCCTTAGGGTCAGCTGCTGCACAACAACTCTTCTACTGTAGTCATAGCCAGTTCTCACAACCACTGAGCCCAAGGGTCAGTTCCTCTTATTGATGTGCAATTATCAGCCAAGGCTTGACTGCAAGAGGAGGGCACACAGAACCCACACAAGGGACACACCTGGAGTGTATAGCTCAGGTGACCAGAAAGACTGGCCACTGAACCCCACAGCACACCTACTACATAAGGCTACTTTACTAACATTGGAAGACATAGCAGCCCTACCTAATACATAGAAACAAACTCATAGAGGCAGCCAAAATGGGGAGACAAAGAAACATGTCCCAAATAAAAGAACAGAACAAAGCTCCAGAGAAAGAACTAAACAAAATGGAGATAAGTAATCTACCAGACACAGAGTTCCAAACACTGGTTATAAGGATACTCAATGATTTCAGGGAGAACTTCAACAGGGAAAAAGGAAGCATAAAAATGGAGATGGAAAATATGAAAAAGAACCAGTTAGAAATAAAGGATGCAATAACAAAAACAAAGACTATATTACAGGGAATCAACAGTAGATTAGATGAAGCAAAGGATCTAACCAGTGATATGGTAATAGAAAACACCCAAACAGAACAGCAAAAAGAAAAAAGAATCCAAAAAATTTAGGAGAGTTTAAAGGGCCTCTGGGACAATATCAAGTATACCAATATTCTCATTATAGGGTTACCAGAAGGAGAAGAGAGACAACAAGGAATTGAAAACCTCTTTGAAGAAATAATGACAGAAAACTTCCCTAACCTGATGAAGGAAATAGACATACAAGCTCATGAAGCACAGAGAGTCCCAAACAAGATGAACCCAAAGAAGCCAACACCAAGACACATCATAATTAAAATGCCAAAGGTTAAAAACAAAGAGAGAATCTTAAAAGCAGCAAGAGAAAAGCTGTTAGTTACCTACAAGGGAGCCCCCATAAGACTATCAACTGATTTCTCAACAGAAACTTTGCAGGCCAGAAAGGATTGGCAGGAAATATTCTAAGTGATGAAAAGCAGCGACCTGCAACCAAGATTACTCTACCCAGGAAAGCTATCATTTAGATTTGAGGGACAGATAACGACCTTCTCAG